CGGTAGTCGTAATCATATATAATTCGAAGGCCATTCGTGGTCACAAATTTAAATGGAAAATTATTGCAAACATTAAGAGCCATGGATGCTACTTCACTCATTCTTCGTGGGCTATCATTTCGGTATTTTCATCTGCGAGTTTTGATCAGGTGACATTGATAGTACGAATCTTTTGCTTTCTAATCCATCATGTAAGTTTGAAAATTGTAGACCAGGTTGAGCAGCGGCCCCCCTCCTTTGCATGGCTACTTACGTGGAACGTGAGATGAGGTCCACGATCGGACAACTTTGTAAGGCTCCAAATATTTTCACAAATATATGAGATGGGATTTAATTAAATTCCTCCACTTATCTACTTTTGATCCCTAAAAGGTTTGTAGCTGTTGAATATATCACTGCCAACTCATCTCTGCCAGCTCATCAAAACAGTTGTAAAGGATTGGATGATGTAATAGTTGAAAGAGTTAGTTAGTCCTCTAGTCAACTATATATAGCTATTGTAAATAGATAGTAAAGTTAGTTCATTGAGTTTAATACAAAAGCTTCATTCATTTCTTTCTCACATTTCTCTTCTCTCTGTAAAACTTCATTTCTTGATTTTATAATTGTTCATCTTTGCTACTTCTCCAATGTAGTTAACATGGTATCAGAGCCACCAGGCTCGTGCCATGGATTCTGGTGGTTCCGTTTTTCATTAGATTTCATTGTTTTTTTAGTTTTATTTTCTCTCTAGATTGTCTTCAGAAATTTCCATTACTTTTTCAGTGCTTCCGTGATTGTTCTTAGGTTGATTTTTCGACAATTGTTGGGTTAATTTTGTTTTGCCAACTACATTCTACAATATCGAATTTGGGGTTCTGGTTGGTGTTTGTGAAAATGCCTGAATGAAACTAAATGTTGCGAGGAGATTGGAGATCTGGAGATTTGGTTCTTTCTTCTTGGTGGTCTGCTCAAATCATTGTCTGAATTCTTTGGTGGGAAGCCATGGTTGCTGCTGGTCGATAGATTGATTGGTTTGCTTCCTCAGCGTTATTTGGATCAAGACTGACAGGTTTTTAATTTCTGGTTTTCACAATGCACATAATTTGTTTGATTAAATGTTTCAATAAGAAAATGTTCACTATTTTGTTCATTTTTCTTGTGAATCTTTCCTAGGATATTAGTGTGATATTTGGGATATTTGGACTCAAGATTGCTCATTACTTCAAGATCATTGTTTGTGATATTTGGGATATTTGATTTGATGCACGATGTCTTGGAGATCAATTCTGGCCGGGTTAATTTGCCGAGTTATGTTGATGAGTGTTTGTGAATCTTAGTCCCATAATATTGATGTCTTGAAGATTGATTTGGTGAGTGTTTGTGAATCTTTTGATGAATGTTGCCAAGTTGCTGATGAACAGATATTTGATTTTTGTTTATCTTTCTTGTGAATGTTTTGATGAGTTTTTGATTTGGGTAGATTGATGTGTTAGGACTAAGCCTCCATTGCAACAGTTGACCCCGCAAAGTCATGTGCCTAATCAGGGGGGTTTGTTGGGGTACTAATTCTTGTGAAAGGTTGAGACTTTGGGAAGAAGACGACGATGCATGAGAATGTGTGGGTGTGCATTCTTGCATTCTGGCATGGCCAAGTTTATGGTTTGTACCAAAATGAGAAATGTAATTTCTTGTTTAGAAAATTCTTTTCTCCACATATATGGGTTGCAAGGTGCTAGTTTCAATTCTCAGCAACTTGCCATTGTTTCCAGTCTTTATGAGTGGAGTGATGTTGTAAGAAATGGGCAAGGAAACTCTCCTGAAAGTGGTAGTCCCATTTCAGTGCATCTTAGGCAGACCAGTGTGCCGAGGCGAAGCAGAGAAGCAAGCAGCAATGCCTGTTTATTAGATTCAGCAAAGGTTACTGGAGCAAGTGTTCAGGTGTTAATTGAGGAGTTGTGCAGTATATTCCTTAACACAGCCTATAATGTCGAGTCTAACCAACTCAGTGGTTAGCATGAATCTACAGTAAGTTTGGTTATACGATGACATTTGAAGAAGTTATAAACAATAAAACCCACGAAAGGTAATTCCGTGATGTGAGTAGGTAAATCCCACGAAGGGTAATCCTACATAGATGTTGATTTTCTGTTGTTGAAATTGTGAAGGTCGATACCACTGTTAAGAGTAGTTGTTTTTTGGTAAAATCCACAAAGGACGATCCCGTGTTACTATAGTTAAGGCCGATGCCACACTATAGTTTGTTAATTTTTAGTCTTTGTAAATGTTAAAGGCCAAAGCCAATGTTGAATGAGATTGTTGATGGTAAATCCCACGAAGGGTAATCCCGTAAGAAGTTGTTATATCGGCATGAGGGTGTGCTACGACTCCTTTATGGATGGCTATTCTTGTGTGAAACTCCAATTAGAGGTAGTAAGGTTTAGTGTTCCTAGAAACTACAGAGAAGATATAGTGGTCATTATGCTGTTTGTTTAAAGGATTATGAAGGAAAGCTATGGGTTGGTGAATCAGGAGACGAAAATGAGAAGGGAGAAGATATGATATGATTGTTATGCTTTCATGCTGGACATGTTCTAACTTTTCCATATTATTGCAGCTATGAAGATCAAGCAAAGGGTATTATCCAAGAAGTGATAAATGTTGTTTTGGATAGACATATGGTGAAGACAAGAAATACAACTGGACATAAGTTTTGGTGCAGTGGCAGAATCACTCTGTAAATCTTTTGTATCAGCAGCTTAACTATGCATCGGGTGGATGATTGGACTATTTTCAGAAAACTAGGCTGAAGTGGAAGTATCAAAAGACTATAGTTCATCAAAACATAATGGTTGACAAGCACAACATGGGTACCATCAAAAAGATAATGCAGATGCATGAAGACACCTTTAAACACCAAGAACAGAGGATTAATTGATGATGGGAGCAGGGCAAATAGTACATGGACAAGAAGCACTTCATAGTTCTGCATTTGCCAAAGCACTTATTCAATCTCGAACTAGGAAACCCAGTTGAGATTGAGGGGGATGTTGAACGTATCACTGCCAACTCATCTCTGCCAGCTCATCAAAACAGTTGTAAAGGATGATGTAATAATTGAAAGAGTTAGTTAGTCCTCTAGTCAGCTATATATAGTTATTGTAAACAGATAGTAAAGTTAGTTCATTGAGTTTAATACAAAACTTTCATTCATTTCTTTCTCATATTTCTCTTCTCTTTGTAAAACTTCATTTCTTGATTTTATAATTGTTCATCTCTGCTACTTCTCCAATGTAGTTAACAGTAGCTAAGATTAAAAGTATTTACTGTTGCATTAGAAGTTTGGAGTTTGATTTAAGGCCCCTTGATTTAATTTCTTTTATTTTTTTTCCATTATCGCTTGTATAAAGGGAAAAAACTAACTTTCATCGAGTGGTATTTGATTGAAGCAAATCTCACGTTTGATTTTATTGTGAGTTCAACAGTCAGTTGATGTGAAATGAACCATTCTTGTGAATAACTTTGTTGTGAGCGAACTTTGTTGTCTTCCATGTAATTTTCTTGTATCTCGAGTAAAAAATTGAAAGCTAAAAATACAAAATGGTACCATAAATAAGAGAAATAAATAAGTAAACAATAAATGAAAAGTAATGGTGATACTTACCATCTTATTGATTACCGTTAAATGAGTTTAATTTAATATATCTACTGCACAAAATTTAAAATTTATAATAATTTAACGATAATTAAAAAGGTGATGAGAAAAAATGTACTCCAAATAAATGGGCTCTTCCTTCTCGGAGTCCTGCCCACCGTTTTTATTTTTCGGGCTATTCCTTCTTTGGTTCGGCTTTCATGGGCTCTTCCTTCAATTCTTTGATTCCTCATTTGTTAAGGGTAGCGTTTTAAACCCATCATTTCTCACCTCATGCACATTTCTCTTGTTTCATAGCCATTAAATTGAAGAATTAAAATAAAATCAACGATCAAGATTAGCAGGAGATGTTCACAAAGTGAAAAAGGAATCGCTATCCATTTGTTAAACTCTGTGTGCAACGTACACTTACCTTGATTTATGATTGGATGCGGACTGGGCATATAGGTTGGCAAGGAAGAAAAACTCATTAGTAGCATGGTTGGGCCACATGTGGGCTTCGTTCTACATCAATTCATACAAACATGGTCCAATGGGCCTGGCTATATGTTTGGGCCTGGCTAAAGACGGTATCGGGTACCTCAAGACTGTTTGGTAGGTTGGATCGGATCGGATCGGATTGGATATGTCCATTTAAATTGAACATGGATTACCACCACTTTTAAGTATGATTTAAGCACTAGTTTGGTACTGATTTGCTTTTATAAAAAGTGAGTATAAAAAAAGATTGAGCACAAAAATGTGTTTGGTAAACACTTAAAAACGGCTTATTTTCATAGTTTTGGGTGAAAAAAAAAACTGAAAACATGAAGCAGCAAAAATAAACTTAATTTTCACAATACAGTAAAAAAAAAAAATTTCAAAGCACAGCAATACCAAACCAGCCCTAATTTGCCCCATAGCAAGCACTAATTTATTGTTACCTCACCCTTTAATGTACATAAAATCATTTAATTAAAAAAAATTATGATTAAGTTCATCGTAAATGAAATAATGAATTTTGGCTGAGTACTAATTTACAAGAATAAGATTTTCAACCCATTTACTCCAATCCTAGCCTAACCGTTCGAAATGCAAAGTATGATTCAGTCCGAACCACCAAAAGCCAAACCGAAGAGTACCCAACACCACCGTCGTCACTTGGACTTATGCGTAGTTTTGGTTTGATTCAATTTGTAACCATTGATGACAATCGTCTGCCGATACAATTAAAACCGCAACCATACCCAATTGCCCATGGTGGTTCACAGTTCAAAAACGACAAAGGTTGTTCATTTGTCTTGTAGCGCAGAACGACGCGTGTCGATCACGGTTGACTCCGTCTGCATGCGCCCATCTTTAAACTGAGGAGACAAAATATCTCCAACCAAACACCTCACACCAACAAAATTCCAAATCCATGCCTACATTTTTCCCACTCACCCAAAAATCCCAACCAAAAAAAAAAAGAAAAAGAAACTCTCTCTCTCTTCTTTCTCTCTCTCCTGGCTCTGTTTGTAAATTTCCTCCGTGTTCAGAAAACCCTGTTTTCCGCAACGACCCTCTTCGTTTTCGCAGCCTCTTCCCGAAACGTGGATCACCGGAGAGCTCAGGTCTTCCAATCTCTGAAAATAAAAAAAGCACCGGAAAAAAATATTTAATTGAAAAAAAAGGGGGAGAAATCGCTTCTGGGTATTTTTATTTTTCGAAAACCCTAGTTTTCCGCTTCCAGATTTTCGATTTCGATTGTGAATTAGGGTTTTATGGGGCAGCATGACAAAAATTCGATCCAAATTCTAAACGGGCCGTCGTTGGCCCACTCCGCCTGGTTCGAAATCCGGTTGTTTTACGTCCGGGTTGCGCCCTGCGTGATTGGGAGCGTTCCCGACCACCTCACGCTCCGCCACCTCCGACGCGAGATTGGGGTATCGCTTGAAATCAACGGGACCCGGGTTCCGGCGTCGGACTCGGCCTCGCTCACGCTCCGCCGCGATCGGGTCGATAAGGAGTCGTCGGAGGTGACGTACGTCAGCACCGATAGCGTGAGGGTCACCGGTGGGGTTGAATTTGAGGTGTACGAGAACAATGACATGGTTCTGTGTGGGTCTCTGGAGCGGATGGAGGGTGTTTGGCTCAATGGAAATGCGGGGGGATTGGAGAACGATTCGAGAACCGGGTGGAGTATGGATTGCTACATGGCCGCCTCGATCAATTCGGGTTCTTCCGCCTTTTTCCGGCCAAAACTTGGCGTCTCTGCACCGTCAATAGAGGTATATATCGCCGGGTGTTGCTCCGGGGTGCCCGTGATATTGACGAAAACCATACAGGTTAGTCCGAGGCGGAAGGGCCCGAGGCATGCAACGCTCGATGCCATTCCGGAGGATGAGGAGGTTGGGAAGGAGCACACCAAGGGCTGTAATGGGATGATTCGCCGGAAAGTTCAGGTATTGAAATTTTGCCATTGATTTTGTTGTTGAAAGTTTTGTTCTTTATTTGGTTTGTATTGAATATGATATCGGTAATTGTTGGTAGCTAGCTTGTGAATTTGTGAGAATTTTGGTGGTGGCGGTGGTAGGAATTTGGATTTCTGATGAATTTATTTAGGTGGGAATAATTTATGTCAATGGATGCACAGTAGTTTGTGGCCTTCTAGCATAAATGGCTATTGTAGAAACATCAGTACGAGTCATTTAAACTACACTTTTGATTGAAATACGGTATCTTGAGGCTCTTCAGAATGCTCCACGAGCCTTGTAGGTAGTTGCTGTGATCATGTTTTTAATTTATTGCACCCAAGTTTTGATCCAGTATTCGTCAAACCTGTGGGTTCATTTCTCATACAAAATTTATAGCACTTAGAAAATAATCCATTTTGTGGTTTTCTAATGAACGGAGAAGGGGTTGCTTTAAGTTTTTTCCCTCTGGATTTGGTTGTTGAGGGCTATGTTAGTATGGAAATGTTTATTTTTCCCTTTAGTTTTTTCACTCTTCCGAAGGGGTTGCTGTAAGTTGAGCAAACTAAATGAAGGGCTCTGTAAGGTCAATGACACACTAGCGAACAATTTTGGTTCCTTTGCTTTTACTTTTTGGTGCACATATAGACGCGAAACATATAGTTCACTGGAGCTTGAGGTATATATATATGTTTTTTCTTCTTGGGTTTTTTTTTTTTTTTTTCTGCTGAAATGTTGATTTCTAAGCTTTTATTTGGTACTTAAGTCTTCCTGTTTGTAATATCATTTTGGGTTGGATTACCCCCATTACTTATTCCAAGCCTCTGTACTGGAGGAAAGAAGCATATTTGTCATCTGTAGTTTAAACTGACTTGGAGTCCTTGATTGGCGGCCGTATGCAGATCACAGACTCTGAAATTGATGAGTATGAGGCAGAAGGGAAAATCGGACATCATTTCTACTCTGATGAAATGTACACCGGTGAAGACGGCCAACTTACATGGTTTAATGCTGGTGTTAGAGTTGGTGTTGGAATTGGCCTTGGGATGTGCCTTGGGATAGGGATTGGTGTTGGATTGCTCATGCGTTCCTATCAAGCAACTACCAGTAATTTCAGGAGGAGGTTTTTCTGAAGTGGATAATTGGAAACTTTTTTGGGGAAGTCAAGGGGAACGAAATAATAAAAAATTGTGAGGAAGTGAAAACGGCATAAATCGGTAACATAAATCTGTTGAGCATGAGTTTTTGAAGTTGGGTTGGAAGTTTTGTACAGTTTTTCTGTTTAATAGTTTTATGTTCAGATAAAAGCTCTTACAAAGGATGCCAAAGTTGTTCATTTCACTCCAAAGGTTGGTTGGACACCATTGAAATGTTGTTTCATTGAAACATAGACACAGGTGCCAATGTGGATAACCGGCTCAGCCTTCCGAGGCAGGAAAATATAATAAGCTTTGAAGATCTGATGGAGCTGTAGGTAATAGCAACTACTTGTTCAGCGGCCAGCACAAGCTTGTATGAGGTTCGACTTTGCTTTCGTGGAAAATGTATGTATTTGGCTTCTTTTTTTTTTCATATCTTGTAGAAAATTTTGCAGTCCTTGGAGTCTGTTGGGAAAGTTCATATCGTGGATGTTTGTTTTTGTAGATAGTGTACTGTTGCATCACTCACATCGACATTTGATGTTTTTTTTCTTCTCTCTCAGTCTCACACTCTGTTTAATAAAATTCGATGCGAGCGAGCAGTGCGTGTGCGGTTGATGAATAATTGTGTTGTTTCTTCTTGCCCTGTAGGTAGCAGATGCGCACATGTTGTTCTGAGATTTTGATCTTACATGAGTTATATGTTATTCGTGAGACTTCCAACCGTTGTATGAAACGCCTTTTTCATAAGACGTTGTGTACAACCGATGTACATAAATGTTGTAGATAAAGATTTTGAGACATGTCAAATGCATTTCATTCGAATGGGCAATTGTGCTACAGTTAGTCGCCGAACGCCCACACTCGATATTAGTTGTTTTTAACATTTTAGAATAATTTTATTAACAAGATTTTCGGCACGCATGGAGAGTGCAGGATAATTGTTATGGGGTGTTAATAACAACTTCTTTTTTTTTCGTAAAATGGCTGATAATAAACAAAATAAATGTGGGAAAAAGTAAATTTGTTGTAAATAGGTCAAAGTTAAGAAAATAGCCTTTACTAGTAGATAATGATGTTATTGATCTTTACTTTCTTTCTCTTTTCTATATCTATTGATAGCAATCGGAGTCCTCTATTTATAGAGCAATTCCGTATTATTACATGTTGAAAATTTACAACACTTTATAAAAAATGATGTCCTTCATTTCCAAGTTCACATATCGACACTGCCAATGTTTTCATTCATCTGCTAATGTTGCAAATCCAATCTGTGTGGGTATTGAACATTGTGGGCATTTATTAACCCACTAGCATTTTCAACACTCCCCCTTGGATGCCTACATATCAACATCAGTTGCCTCATTAAAACCTTACTTGGAAAAACCCAGTAGGAAAAAACCATAGCGAATGAAAAAGAGTACAACTTTACTTGGATTGTTATGCTTATGTTGCTCGTTAAAACCTTGATAGGAAAAACCCTGTTGGAAAAATTCTAATCGAAGGAAAAAGAGTACAACTTGCATGTATCATGGATGCTACCCCTAATTCCGCATTCTCCAAATTTAGTTGTTTGGTAAGTCGACGTAATCCGATACTTTGCACTATCTTCTGAAACGTGCACTTTGGTAGAGATTTGGTGAACAAATCTGCCAGATTTTCATTGGAACGGATTTGTCTGACTTCAATAACTTTAGCCTTCTGAAGCTCGTGCACTGAAAAACTGGGAAGATATGTGTTTAGTTTTATTGTCCTTAATGAATTATTCCTTCATTTGGGCAACACAGGCTACATTATCTTCATGAATGATAGTTTGTGTGTCTGTCTTTTAAGGTAAACCACATGAATTCTGAATATGATGGATCATTGATCTTAACCAAGAACATTCACGACTTGCTTTATGTTAAGCAAGTATTTCTGAATGATTTGAAGATGTAGCAACTAATGTTTGCTTGAGATTGTTGTATCTCCATTCTTAAACACATATCTAGTTTGTGAGCGGGCTTTATACAGATTAGAGAGAAAACCAGCATCTGCATATCCAATAAGGATCTAGTCATTTGTGGATTTCTTTGAGTAGAAGAGACTCATGTCTGTTGTCCCACGAATGTATCGCAATACATCTTTGACTCTCTTCCAATGATAAATTGTTGGAGTAGAGCTATACCCTCCTAACAAGTTGACTGAAAAAGCTATATCTGGTCTAATACATTGTGCTAAATACAATAAAGCACATATCACACTCAAATATGGTACTTCTGGACCAAAGACCAATTCATCATCTTCTTTTGGACGGAATGGATCTTTCTTAATGTCCAAATAACGAATGATCATTGGCGTGCTGAGTGGATAAGCCTTGTCCATACCAAATCGCTTTAGGATTTTTCTAATGTAAGCTGATTGGTGGACTAAAATTCCACTAGCATAAAGCTCGATCTGCAGGCCAAGACAAAATTTTGTTTTTCCAAGGTCTTTCATTTCAAATTCACTTTTCAGGTATTCAACAATTTTATTAAGCTCTTCAGGGGTTCCAACTAGGTTCATATCATCGACATATACTACTACTATAGCAAATTCAGAGTTGGATTTCTTAATGAACACATAAGGACAAATGACATTGTTGATATATCCTTATTTAATCAAGTACTCACTGAGATGATTATACCACATTCGTCCAGATTGTTTCAGCTCATACAATGATCGCCTTAATTTGATTGAGAGTATACCTCGTGATTTGTTAGTTGTTTCAGGCAACTTAAGTCCTTCTAGGACTTTCATATATATTTCAGTATCTAATTCTCCATATAGATACGCGGTGATAACATACATAAGTCACATGTCAAGTTTTTTTAAAACCACTAAACTTATTAAGTAACAGAACGTAATTGCGTCCATTACAGGGGAGTATGTCTCCTCATAATCAATTTCAGGTCTTTGCGAAAAGTCATGTGCAACAAGTCATGCTGTATATCTTGCAATCTCGTTTTTCTCATTATGTTTCCTTAAGAATATCCATTTGTAACCCACGGGGTTTACACCAGGTGGGGTTTGGACTATTGGTCCAAAAATATTTTGCTTTTCCAAGGAATTTAATTCTGCTTGGATTGCAACTTTCCACTTAGACTAATCTTGTCTCTATTTGATTTCATCAACAGAACGGAGCTCAAGATCATCACTTAATATGATTTCAATGGCTACCTGCGAATGTGAACATGTCGTCGATGATTATTTCATTTCGATCCCACAATTCATTAGTACAAGCATAATTTATGAGATTTCTTTGTTTTCATGTACCTATGTTTTTTCAAGTACATGTGTCTCATCAAAGACATTTTCTTTTCTGAAAGTACAGAATCATGAATTGTGAATGTGTCATTTATTTTTTCTTCTTGAATGATTTCATTTGGATTCAGTTGTGCCATCTACTTTCTCTTTCGAGGGGCTGAATCTTTTGAACATGGAGGTCTACCACGCTTTAGGCGTGCACTAGATGAATCATTCGTTGCCACTTTATTTTGTCCAACAGGGACATCAATTCTTGCAAGTGCATTTGCAGCTGGTATATGTAATTTTGTCACTTTCATAGCATCATTAAATGCATCTGGCATTTAATTAGCAATACGTTGAAGATGAATGATCATTTTCACATTGAATGCTACGTGGATCAAAATGAGATAAGGTGGGAACAATCCATGTCAACTCTTTCCGTTCTTCTAAAATGGTCTTTTCTCCCCCTAACGATGGGAAGACTGTCTCATCAAGTGACAATCAGCAAAACGAGTTGTAAACATATCACATGTTAAGGGTTTCAAATATCTAATGATAGATGGTGAATCAAAACCCACGTAAATTCCCAGTCGACGTTGGGGTCCTATTTTAGTGCGTTGTGGTGGTGTAATAGGTATATAAACAGCACAACCAAAAACTCGTAAATGTGAAATATTTGGCTGATGCCCAAACACGAGTTGTATTGATGAGCATTGGTGGTTGGGTATAGGTCTCAATCAAACCAATGATGCAACATGTAAGAAGGCATGTTCCCATGTAGAAACTGGTAATTTTGTTTTTATAAGCAGAGTGTCGGCTATTAACTGAAGCCGTTTGATCAATGCTTCTGGCTAAACCATTTTGAGTATGAACATGAGGAACGCGGTGTTCAACATCAATGCCAAATGTCATGCAGTAATCATCAAATGTTTGAGACGTAAATTCACCAGCGTTATCAAGTCGGATTGACTTAATGGGGTACTCTGCAAACTGTGCTTACAACTTAATTATCTGAGTAAGAAGTCTGGCAAAAGCTACATTTCGAGTAGACAAGAGACAAACATTTTATCATTGGGTAAATGCATCAACCAAAACCATAAAATATCGAAATGGTCCACAAGATGGTTGAATAGGCCCACAAATATCCCCTTGAATTCTTTTCAGAAATGATAGGGATTTAGCATCAACATTTAATTGTGATGGTCTAATTACCAACTTCCCTTGAGAACAAGCCTATCAAGGGTTATCATTTGAGATAGCAATGTGTCTGCTCAATAATGAATGTCCATTAGAGTTGATAATGATTCTACGCATCATGGTAGGTCCTGGGTGACCCAGATGGTCATGCCAAAGTATGTAAACTTTTGAATCAATGAACTTCTAGTTCATAACAGTATGTGATTCAACTGTCTATATGTATATATAATATAATGCACTCGTCAAACCACGCAACATCTTCAATATACGCTTCTGGGTATCATTGGAGGTAATGCATATGTACTCCTCATTTTCTGCACTTTTTGTTTCAATGTGGTATCCATTTAAACGTATATCTTTAAAACTCAACAAATTTTGAGTAAATCGAGTAGCGTACAACGCATTCTATATGGATAATATTATTCCATTTGATAATATAATTTGGGCTTTCCCTGAGCCTTCAATCACATCTGATTGCGATGATATTGTTGTTATCTTTACTTTTGTAAGCATCAATGTCACGCCATGATCTTGACATACGTCTAGGATCGACACGTGACGTCACCACATACTCGTATATCTAACATACCCTGCCTCCTGAATATATACAAAGTATCATTCAAGATCCAGATGCATAATAATTTTTCGTATACTTTATGGCTGCATCTAACCTATTCGTTAGACTGCCTACATACCCTCATTAGAGGTCAAGCCATTCGTAGTTCAACTTCTCTATAACTCAACATATAACACAATTCGTTCAAGCCAAAAAGGCATAACATTCCTCAATCAAACATTTGGACTTGACAAGCATGAATTATTCAATTCAAGCTACATAATAACCCACATGATAATCAAGGTTTCTATTTCATCTATCATATACATCATTATGTTTCAACATAATTGTGCAGGCGGTGATCACCGAACGCGGATATACCAGGCATGATCATCCCTGAATACGTAGGGTCCCCCATCACGGATATACCAAGCAGGACCATCCATGTACATTTGCTACATGGTGCAATAACTTCAACACACAACTTAACCACATCTCAACCTCTATGAGTTTCAATGTTGTCATCTACACCATCAACTTCTCAAGGCCATTACTAATATGTCACACAAGCATATAAGTGCTACAACATACTTCAAATAGGATTCTAGGATAACCTTATCATAAAAAAATAATCATACACATTAATCACAGTACTAAAAGATAATTAAACTCAAATATATCCCAACCATCATCAGTACACAAGCCAATTCATGTTTAATAATATAGTCTATGGCTAATATATGAAATCACATTTCAATACAAATCTCATTTATAAGACCACGACATATTCACATACGATATTAATAAAAGAAAATAAGTTAATATCCATATCTCATATACTCAAGTCACTCTCTAACCAATGTAAGCACACTAGACTTCAATTAGTCCCCCGTAGTATTAATTTTAGTATTTAGAACGTTTCAAGACATGTTGACCAAAAGTCAATTCTCGGTCAATAGCAAGGTCTACAACCCTACGTAATTCGATCCGAAAGATCCGTACATCAGATTTCCGATCCGTCACATCCTAAGGTCTACATTATTCTCAAAGAACAACATACTAAAATCTAATTGCGATCCGACAGTCGGATCTCCGCCAATTACTAAAGTTAGGTGGCGATCAACAATTTATTTTACAAACTTAGAAATCCAATTCAGGAAGATCCGTATGTCGAATTCCCAATCCGTAAGTTCCTAACATCCTCAAATATTACTTATTATAATGTTTTAAAGTTTGGTGACAATCCAACGGTCGGATCATCGGTTTATATATTGACCCATTCACGTACGAAATGAAGCTAAGTCCAGACAATCAATTTACGTCGTACGGATATCAAACATGAACTCATGGCATCTAAAAGTGCTTAAAAAACATCATCGGCCCACAGGCCACGCGCCGCCACAGGTGGCGGTCGGCCACCCCGACTCGTCGGAAAAATCCAACTATTTCAAAAAATTACCAAAATTTACAAAAATGAAGATCTCAATGAGTAGAGTAAACTTTATACCTGCGGTCAAGGCCAATTTGGCTGGAAAACATCCCAAAATGGCCACGAACAGCCGGAACCCTAAGGTGGGTGTGCTTCAAATTCGGCTTCCAATTGAACTCTAACGCCTCCAACACCCTTGGGCTTTGTTCCTTGGGTTGAGGGAGTATTTTGGTGGTGGTCATAGACGGCGAAACTTGTCGGAGCCACCGGAAAAATGGATAAAGCCACCGGAACATCCGTGGATTTGTGGCTTCGAACTGGAAAAATGGGAAAGAAATTGGGAAATCTAACACTAAAAAGATGTAGGGCTCATTAAGAGCTTTTCATGGACACCAAGATCACCCAAAACGGAAATCGGATGAAGAAGATATGGCCGGGTCAAATATGATGGTTCGCGGGTGAAAATTGACCCGTTTTGGGTCTCTCCTTTCCCCTCCTTTCCCCCTTTTTCCTGATTGGGCTGTTCCCTCTCCTTTTTTCTCTCCTTGCTCATTGGTCAATTCCCTTAACTCACATAAATATGATTGGCCTCCTTCCTACAAGATGGAAGTTTAAAATAAATTTAAAATCTATAGTTTAGTAACACAACTTCAAATGTCCATAACTATATCGTCATAACTCGGACTCGCAAATGACTTTCATCTGTGCGCTCATAGTTTCAAGATTTATTCAAATATGTTACTTGTAACCTCGAAAGGTCAACGAATTTTAGATAATTACTTTCCAAACTTCAAAGTTTGTAACTAATTTAATTAAGATCTAAATCTAAATAAATTAAGATAATTTCTCGAAAAATAATATAAATTCTAAATAATATAAATACGTAGATTATAACAGTGAAATCCGGGAATGAGATTTCACAATCAATCTTGAGAAAAACTTTCGATCTCGAAGTATTGTATGTGTGGTTGCGCTGTCTGCAAGACAAATATTTCTGCAATTTCTCATGTTTTGAGAATGACCATAATTTTTATTCATGCTTTCTGAGTAAGGGAATCACAGTTAAAAGCAATTTATAACAGGAAATTTAAATGTCACTTTTATTGAATCTGAAATGCTAGTTTTTAAACTACAAGTTCAGCATAATAAAAGTACATCAAACATTAATGATTCAATCGGACCGGTATACTTCATTTCTCTTTCCACCATGTAGTTCGAGATCTCTAGGTGGGTTATGTTCAACTGCCTTGATAAGTCACATACTGGATCAGGAATATCCATTGGTTTAGTCTGGTCGAGAAAATTGGTCTCGACACACTTTTCCTTTAGGGAGGCTTGATATAGATCTACCAGATATTTTAGGGTACGACAGGTACGTGCCCAGTGCTCATCACCACCACACTTATGATAGGCTCCTTCAAAGTTTCTGGGAGCATTGTTTCTATGAGTTCTGCCTTTGTGGCGATTTACATTTTTGAAGTTTGGGTTGGAATTATACTTTGGAACCTGATTGTGAAACTGGACACCATGATTCTTGTCTTTCCCGTTCCACCGTCCTCACTTGTGGTCACGTCCTCGTTTAGGATTATTACCACCACAGGATGTTGCGTTCACTTCGAAGGAAGCAACATTCACTTCTGGGAATGGTGCATATCCAGTAGGTCGGGAATGATGATTTTTCAACATGAGCTCATTGTTTTGTTCAGCAACCAGGAGCACAGAGATTAACTAGTTGTAGTCAGTGAAGCCTCGCACTCTATACTGCTGCTGAATGAGCACGTTAGAGGCATGAAATGTGCTAAAAGTCTTTTCCAACATATCTTCTTTAGTAATGGTATCCCCACAGAGCTTCATCTGAGAGGTAATTCTGAACAATGCAGAATTGTACTCAGCCACTGACTTGAAATCCTGGATCCTTTGGTGAGTCCATTCATAGCGAGCTCTTGGAAGAATCATTGTTGTCTAGTGATTGTATTTGTTTCTCAAGGTTTTCCAGAGACCTCACGAATCTTCAACCGTTAAGTACTCGCTCTTTAGTCCCTCATCAAGATAGTGACGAATAAAAATCATGGCATTCGCCCGATCTTGAAAGGATGAGTTGTTTTCTTTCCTAATGGTATCTCCAAGATTCCCTGCTTCCAGATGAATCTTGGTATCCAATACACAAGTAAGGTAATTTTTCACAGTAATGTCCAGAGCAGCAAAATTAAGGTTTACCAAGTTTGTCATTTTCTTTTCTGAAAAAAAATTGAGATGTGTAAGAACTTGCAATAATATGTAATCTGGGGATGTAGTGTTAGAACTTCTAATTCTTACAAGTTCTTCATTTTGATCTTCAGGCTAAAATGATAAGCATTCAAAACTTCTAGCTCGAGATTTATATAATGAATGAGGAGGGTGATTGTGCTGCACCATTCTCATAACATAGGATTGACGATTATTCTACACCACTCAAGCAGCAGGAAAATTTAAATATACAAAATAGGGTGGGCGATTATATCACGCCACCTAAAATTGCAATGAAATTAAACAGCAGGCAAATTTAAATATACAGGGTATGATGGGCGATAATACAGCTCCACCTAAAATTTGCAGTAAAATTAGATCTGCAATCCAAGATAAGCGATGATACCGCACCATCATGGATTGCAGTAAGATTAAATTTGCAGTTCAAGATTGACAATTGTACCACACCATCTTGGGTTGCAGTAAAATAAACACTGGATTAGTAATCAAGATCTACACCAAACAAGAAATCAAAGATATATGTAACTATTAGGTTGAGAACTAAAAGCAAGCATGGTGCAAACAATTCTTCGCAATGGTATATCCAACAGTTGAGGCAGAGGAAGAAGATGAACAGTAAAATCCTTAGAGGAATTTTTTTTTTCTTTCGACGAAGAGAAATGATTTCTTTCGGCAAAGAGAAATGAGGAATAGTTATATTTAGAGAGTTGTGCTGATAATGTGTTATAAATAGGTCAAAGTTAGAGGGATAACCTTTACTAGTCACAGGAGCAAAACAGGTGTAAAATATTACATTGTAACTATAGCATAAGAGGATAACAAATAAAGAGGTAGGCATAGATAATGATGTTATTGAACTTTTCTTTCTTTCTCTTTTCTATATATGTTGATAGGAGTGTTCTATTTATAGAGTAACTCTGTATTATTACATGTTGAAAATTTACAACACACCTTTTAAAAAATGATCTTCTTCATTTCCAAGTCCACATATCAACACTACCAATGTTTTTATTCATTTGCCAACATTTTACAAATTCAATCTATGTAAGTATTGAAAAAATCTATCAAAATTTTCAATGTTACTGTAGACATTCAACCTACCAGCATTTTCAACAAAATCAAATTAGTCAAAGCCATACGGGTATATTTTTATGGTGATGCTGACCGTGGTACGTCAAAGATGCTAGATCCTCTTCCCGATTAAAGGGAACAATAAAATACAAAACAAAAACTGGGGACATGAAGGTAATTATGTAAAATGAGAGGGGCCACGTGGTGAGTTGACAGAGCGGCAGAGCCGAAGAGGACTAGCTAGCTAGAGCCTAGAGGCGCGCACTGGATCTCATCAGCAAGGACACTTGAAGCTCTCAACTCTCCGGCAAATCAATGGGAGCCCTCGCTCGCCTTAACCCCCAGAAATGCCCAAAATTACAAGCGTAAAACCCTAACCCACCGCCGCCACAAAGCATGAGCGCAAGCACCGGTCACAGATCCCCTGCAACAATGCCCCGCCGTAACAGCCCTGCGGCTTCACCCTCGTCGCTCCCCTTGGTCGTCACTCTCAATTGCATCGATGACTTCGGCATGGAGCAGGACTCCTTGTCCGGCGTGGCCGCTGTCGAGCACGTGCCGCTCAGTCGCCTCGCCGAAGGCAAGATCGAGTCGGCCTCCGCCGTGCTCCTCCAGTCCCTCGCGTACCTCCCACGGGCCGCCCAGCGCCGCCTCCGCCCCTACCAGCTCATTCTCTGCCTCGGTTCCTCCGACCGCGCAGTCGATTCGGCCTTGGCCGCCGACCTCGGGATCCGGCTTGTCCACGTGGACGTGTCGCGTGCCGAGGAGATTGCCGACACGGTTATGGCGCTCTTCCTCGGATTGCTCCGCCGGACGCACATGCTCTCCCGCCACACGCTCTCCGCTTCGGGATGGCTCGGCTCGATCCAGCCGCTGTGCCGTGGGATGAGACGGTGTCGAGGCTTGGTTTTGGGGATTGTCGGCAGATCTGCGTCGGCTAGGTCTCTGGCTACAAGGAGCTTGGCCTTCAAAATGAACGTTCTCTATTTCGATGTTCAAGACGTAGAGGTACTGATTCGATCATATTTAGTTCTCCGAACTCATATTCAGCTAAATTATACTAAAAGATCTGATGTTTAGTAGCTCGAAATGTGCATCATTTTGAAGTTAGTGAATTCACTTTTAAGTTTTAACATTTGAGTAGCTCAAATATTTGACCTTTAAATGTGCTTTTTCTTGTTCATATTGATATTGCTGAGACAATGCACTTCTTTTTGTGTTTACCGAAGCTTGTTATGATGGAAATGTGGTAAAGTTTGTGTCTTTGGTCCTAATCTATGTTCGGAGCCTAAAATGTAGTATAGTTTATTATGAATCTGATAGCGGGAAAAAAGAGAGTAGATTCAATTCATTTTGATGTTTGAAGTTAAGTTGTGGTTGTTAATATTTTCTTTTGGGATTGGATATGGGTAGGTTTTATTGAAGCAGAATGCATTACTTATCAAGAAATTGTGGACCTTCAGTTTTTTACTTATCTAATTATCTATTGGGGTGGTGGGTACACGATGATGTTTTAGTTGCGAAGTACTGCTTACAAGTATCCTAATGCTTATTTGAATTCTGAAAACTATTGTTTTTAGTTTCTTCAAATACTTTGCACTTGAAACTTCTTTTGGAAATAAACTTGTTTTTGCCACTTCTATTGATGGAAATTGACTCAATATTGCCATTGCATACTTTCTAGTTTGGAACTGCCTCTTGCGTGTCATATTTGATTCTTCTGGTTCAATTTATTGTGTGCTGTATGAACGTTTTGCCCGGTACAATATCTCAGGTGAATGGAAAAGTGAGCAGGTCTCCTGTAAGCTTTCCTTCTGCTGCGAGAAGAATGGATACACTTAATGATTTACTGGCTGCAAGTGACCTCATTTCATTGCACTGTGCTCTGACAAATGAAACAGTTCAGATTCTAAATGCTGAATGCTTACAGCATGTAAAGCCTGGTACATTAATCTTCATCTTGGTGCCTGTTTAAGGAAATTTTGGGATTCCTTGTATGTTATATTAGTGTGGAATGATTTTATAAGTGTTGTTGTGCAGGAGCATTTCTGGTCAACACAGGGAGCTGTCAACTATTGGACGATTGTTCTGTGAAACAGCTTTTGATTGACGGAACCTTAGCTGGGTGTGCTTTAGATGGCGCTGAAGGGCCACAATGGATGGAAGCATGGGTATGCTAATTCTTTGTGGGATATTGACTTGTTAACATAGGCTGTGCGACTGTGTCAATTTCTGGCAAATACTTGTGCTTGAGTGCTGCAGCATGCTTTGCAATATACCCAGTTAGTCTAGTCCCCTTTTTGCTTCATTTCAGGACTTGTCTCCTGCTTTCTTGCTGTATTAATAGCTCTGGACTTGCTCATAAATAGCTTGGGAGCCTTAAACGATGTGTAGATCATTTTTTTTTTCTTTTTTGCAAACTGTATGCACTAATATGCAAAGTATGTGTTTTCATTCTAGCCTTGTACTATATACCCATCTTCTCATTGATTCCCCCCTTGCCTAATTCAATTTTTTTTCTTCATTTCTTATCAGTCTTACATCCTTAATATGTGCATTATTGGATGTAGATTGTGCTTTGTGGAGTAAAAAAATGCACCTGCATTGTTAACATTAATTATCTTTGAACTATCACATGGCTCTATAACCTTTGGTATGAAACCCCATGGTGTTTATGGTGCTGTTTACATGTGGTAATATAACTTAACAGGCATGAAAGGTGGAAGGGAATGTAAATTTTACCTGCTTCTGGATGATTGTATATTCTTAGTCTTTTTCTTCTTTATTTCTACCCACATATGAATGATGCACATCTGGAGCATTTAAATTCGATATACCAGGTTGATGCTAAGATACATATCATGGGTTTACTTCAGGTGAAGGAGATGCCCAACGTGTTGATACTTCCACACAGTGCAGATTATAGTGAAGAAGTATGGTTGGAGATAAGGGAGAAAGCTATCTCCATATTGCAGACATTCTTTTTTGACGGGATTGTTCCAAAAGATTCTGTATCTGAAGAGGAGAATGAAAGTGAGTTAGGTGATGAAAATGAAGAGTCGGATAAGCTGGACAGAGAAAATAACTTGCAGCTATCTGTTATTGAGCAACCAACTGAAGTCATTCATTCAAGTCCAGAACGCTCTCAGAATAAAGAAGCTATTCAATCCAAGGAGTCTCCTAGCCAGCACCAAAGTTCAGGTTTATCTCAAAGTGCCACTCGACCTGATGGAAGACGAGGCAGATCAGGTAAGAAAGCCAAAAAGAGGCACGCACACCAAAAATCCCGGCAAAAGTCAGATGATCCTTCACGAGAAAAAGAAAGTACCTCACAGCGGGAAGAAGATACAGCTATGAGTGGAACTGATCAAGCATTAAGTTCCAGTTCTCGGTTTGCCTCCCCAGAGGACTCAAGAAGTAGGAAAACTCAAATAGAATCAATGCAAGAATTGCCTTCCCACCATCTTCAAAAATCTATTAAGAGGCTCAGTGGAAAGCCTGGTGAGCTGTTGAAGGATGGGTATGTTGTCGCCTTGTATGCAAGAGATCGTCCCGCCCTCCATGTCTCAAGGCAAAGAGTTAAAGGTGGCGGTTGGTTCCTAGATACCATGTCAAATGTAACAAAAAGAGATCCTGCAGCTCAGTTTCTCATTGTTATCAGAAGCAAGGTTAGTATGCAAGAACTTATTTCTTCCCTTGGACCTAAATTGTAGCCTATTATTCAATCCATCCTGGCTGCTGTGTTAATTGTAATCTGTTAGCTGATGTGAAATTATCGGTTCCTTCTTATAGGACACAATTGGTTTGCGATCTTTTGCTGCTGGTGGAAAGTTATTGCAGGTAATATTACTTTATCAATTATTACTCTTGGACGTCTAAATTTGGACCAGTATAAAAATTGATCTCAAAAGCTGACTACCTGACTATTTAAGTTCTTGGGATTATAATCAACATCTACCTTAACATTGCAGATAAATAGAAAAATGGAGTTTGTATTTGCCAGTCACAGTTTCGATGTCTGGGAGAGTTGGATGTTGGAAGGTACTCTGGAGGAATGTAAACTGGTTAACTGTAGAAATCCTTTGGTAAGTTCCTTTACTTTATGTAGTTGTATCTGCTTTCATGTATTTTAAACTGAAATTTTGACACTAGCGGACAGTGGACTGGTAGTTCAATAACCATAGGTGATTAAATTGTCTTGAACAACAGAACAAACATAACCCCCACTCCCAAGAAGAATTTAAGATAAAACCTCTCCTGTGTAAATCTTTGGTCTCCCGAGTCTACTAATTTAAACGATATGTGCTTTCTTTATAATTTAAACGATATAACAAAATGTTGCCTCTCCTTTTCCAGATGTAATTCTCAGCCCAAAAAATCCTTGAAGTGCTAAATTGTGAATTTCATAAACTGTAATTGTTGTTGCCAATTTAATCCTGCTCACCGTTCGAATGTTCGGTTGTTACAAAACTGTAGGCTGTTTTGGATGTAAGCATCGAGATTCTGGCCACCATATGTGAAGACGGGGTTACACGTTGGCTTGATTAGACTGCGACGAGAAAGAATACTAAGAATCCTAACATTTTTATTCTGATTTTTTCCTCTTTCTGAGGTTTGTATCATTTTAAAACAGCTTGAGAGTTGTAAAGCGTTCTTTTTCTTATTATTTTTGGTTCATCTACACTTCCCTTTTTCGGGTTTTTCGTCGCATAATGTTATCAACTGGTAGAAGATTTGTGTTGTGGGTTATTCAGCCTCCAGATATTAGGTGCGTGTATTGTGTAATGTACAAGTGATATCCTTTGGTTTGTCCCAAGGGATGGCGGTTGTAACTCATCCATCAAGGAAGTTTCACTCGGAGTGTTGTTTTGCGATTGATGAATCTTATTGTTTCTCTATCATCCGGACTGTTATTTTTATTCTGTTTGAATATGTGCTCGAATTCATTCGAGACGCGAGCAAAACTCAGTATTTTGATCATAGATTAGAAATTTCTGTTGTCCTTTCAGTCAGTTTAATTTGCGACGAAAACCAATAAAACTTTGAGTACGGAGAGAGGAACTCATTGCTTTACAAGTTCTTGGTGATCTCACCAAACTCGAATTAAACATAAGTAATCCGTAATGTTGTTGTTACTGAATTTGGCAACGCGAATTGGTGGGGAGAAATGCAAACAACAGAATTTAAATGGATTTGCTTGCAAATATGGTAATCAATTGCCAACCACTGGTGTGGTTAACATTTGATTTGATAATTAAGTCATTAAACTAATCGGGTTTGCTGTTTGAGCACGGATTCTTGGACTTTAGTCTGCCAAAAGGAGTGGGCAAGACTGTGCTAGAAAGAAACTCTAGAGCTTTCCCTCCATATCTTTTTCTTTTGGGAAATATTATATATTATACTTGTGGGGCACACAAGACATCATCTCAGCCCTAGCCGTTTGGTAATTTTATTTTCGTATTTTGGAAGTCCAATCACACCTGTAGCAATAATACTATTATTATGATTATTATCGCAGAAGATGTTATTAACATTTTAAAAATCTATTATAACGAATTCATTTATTATTGAAACAAAATGAAAAAATAAAAATAATACTCTTAACGCTAGCAAAATAGGATGACTAATAACAGTTTTTTTTTATTTTTGTTACCGAATGATGTGGATTATTATTAACATGCTTGCCGACTTTTTTTCAAATGCTAATAAGAATTTCTATTATTATTTCGTTACCAAATGATATGACAAGGCAAGTGGAGACTATTGCCCGACTTGTCATGTTTGGTACCGATGAAGGTGCCCAACTTTTCATTTGGGGCAAGGTGTTTGAGAAAATAGCTCGAAGGAGGGTTGGAGCCTTGGAGGTATCTCCGTTGCATGTTGATGTAGATAAGTTACAAATAAGTATTTGTGTATGGAAACAAAAACTATGTTTCCACATTTGGGGTTATGGGTTGCAAAAGGTGATCTTTCTACGAAGTTATGAGAGATTTATCCTTTTTAAAATGACATTGTACAACCAAAGCCTAAACAAAAGAATGGATTAAAAAAAACACAAACAACCTACTTTTCCAATATTAAAAAAAAAAAAAAAAGACCAGCTGGTGGTTTTGTCACGACAATCCACCTTTTCATAGTCAGAAAGAGTTATAGACACATTTCAACCTCCCTCTTACCACCATGTGATTGTGTAAATCCTAAGTAGAAATAAATTAGGAAACCTTTGGGATTTAGAGGATCTTTCCTATTAAACTTTGTATTACTTGAAGAACAAGTTTCTTTCCTCCTTATTACTATAAATAAAGGCACAAGGTATGAAAAATAACACATAAAATTCCTCAGGCCCTTTTTTCCATCTCTCCCTCCATGTTGTGTACCCTCTCCCTCCATTCTCTAAACCCTTTTTAGTGTCGGAAAGATTCGCAAAGACATTTCAACCTCCCCTTAGCCACCATCGTGTGACTCACCAGCGTTAGGAATCCAACTTGAATTTCATGTGTGGAATGTTGGTTTGAAATTCGTCCCCAATCACTGGGCCACCCTACAGTGGTTTACTTTTCCAAATACTTGATTATTATTATTATTATTATTATCTGTATATAAAGCCAATGGAAAAAGGAATATTGATTTTGATGTCATCAAGCTTTAACAAAAAGATTTGGACAAAAATACACCCAGGACAAAAAATTTCAAAGGCATTCCAAAATAATGCAGGGGAATTTTTGTTATTTTAATAATGTTTTTTTTAATAATTTATTTTTTTGGTGCTGTATTTTTTTTTAAATAATTAGTACCTCACAAAGACTAGCAATAATGTGATTCAATTTCTCTATTTTTAAACACATTCAAAACATTTTAAGAGACATATAATGCTAGTTATAACAAAGATATTTCGCACGATGATAATAATGTGATTAAATAAGTTGTCAAATGATTTTTTTTTAACAAACGATATTATTTACACTAAGGAAGAGGGGGTGGGCTTAGCCTTACAATGGACTAGCAATAATGTGATTCAATCAGTTGTTTATTAAATATTATCTTCTCTATTTTTAAACACGTTTAAAACATCTTAAGAGGCATGTAATGCCGGTTATAAAAAAATGTCTTTTGCACATGGATAATGTGACATCCCGTCCCGGAATTATCGGAACCGTACGCGTGAAATTACCATTTTACCCCTAGTTGTTTTGTTATGTTGTTTGGTTGTTTGTGTGGTGTTGGCAAGCTTTGGGCCACACACACACACACACACACACACTGTCTCACTCACCCTCACCCTCTGGCTCTGTCTCTGTCACTCTCTCTCTCCCGTGTCTCTCTCTTTCCCCTTCTTCTTCACCATATATGTACGGACCAAACCCAAAACCCACCAAATCCTTGCAGATCGAGGGAACCAAGTACACCATCGTGATGGTGAGGCCGAGAGGAGTCTAGTGGTGCCATTTTCAGGTGAGAAACCAGTCGTTTTCACGTCGATCTCGTAAGCTCCGTTTTGAACACTGTTCATGCAAACCTAATCTAGCATGTTTTTGGACATTCTAAGCTTGTAGATGTGTTAGTGAGGTCCCAAGGAGCTTGGGAGTGCTTCGTTGGGTGAATTTGGACGTCGGGAAAGCTTGGTTCAAAGTTGGCCGAACTTGGATCGTTGTTGCAGGTGAGATTCTTTGATTTTTAGGCCTTAAAACTAGTCTAACGTGAATCTACTAGTCCTAAGCTTCATTTTGGTATAAAGAACGTGAAAAATGGTTGAAAAACGAGTGAGAAAACGAAGTTGGAAAATTTTGCAGTTTTCCGGCGCCGGCGCCGGCGGCAGTGGCTCGCCGGAGAAGACAGGGGAATATTCCGTTAGGGTTTAACGGAATATTCCTAACGGACAGTAACGGCGTCAGTCAAGATTAACGGAATATTCCAGGGAATATTCCTGACGGCGTCACTTGACGCCGTCAGCATGCAGGTCACGTGGCCGCGCGTGGGGGCGCGTGGACCCGTGTCTGTGCTGGCGCGTGGGGGCGCGTGACGTGTCCAAAAATTATTTTAAAAATATGGTTGTGATCGTGAGGTTGTGTAGGTCACGTGGGTATATTCATTTGTCCATTTTGAGCAATGTATGAAAAGTTATTTTGAACGGACGATTATGTGCTCTAAAGTTAACGTTTTTATAGTTAATTCGCATATAGGTGACACGTATCCCGAAGACGAGCGTGCACATTCGAGGCAGGGGGGCTACGACCCTTCTACATACCAGTGAGTGGGTTTTTTTTTTCCGTATATACCTATATACATGTTATTTCCTAGAAATTAGTATAAATTCCTCGTTTTACGCTATTAATTTTATATGATTGATGATTATACCTGATTAGTGGCATATGAGTTGGTTTATATATTTATTCTTACGTCATTTACATATATGTTGGTGCTGTGGCGGCCTAGGTAAGTGCCAGGTAAGCGTGTTTTACATTCACATTAAATAGTGATCCGAGGTGCTTAGAGAGCTCATAACCTGCACCCCCGGTGTTAGTGCTCCCGCCCAGAGTAGGGCACAGTCCTTCACGTGTTGTTCACCTCCCGCACCACACGCTCAGCTTGAATCCAAGTTAGGTGCACAGTCCTGTCGTACAGACCACTATAGGTGGTTCCGACTCGTAGGTGACCCGCGATTATTCGCACAGCTTTCACGTGATCGTAGCACTAGAGCGTCATATGTATTACACCCAGGCTTGTCGTACAGACCACTATAGGTGGTTCCGACTCGTGGGCAGGTTTAGGGAATGAGTGGTAAATTGAGCTCTAGGTTCAGCCGTACAGGTCACTTAGGGGACTCCGGCTGTCATTTTATTATGCTATTGATGTGATATACATACCTGAGCATTTGCATGTTATTATAAGGCGTTGAGCATGACGACATACATTTGAGCATGTTGGTATATCCTTGCGTATACTTGGAATATTTATACCTTCGTATATATTTTTATTTTCTGGGAAGTATACAGGTTTTACGGCGAGGGGTTATATTATGTTTTATGAAATAGTTTTCTAAGAGATTTGTTTTGCCCACTCACGCTTTTGTTTTTGCGCCCCTCCAGGTTCTAGTAGCTTAGCGGGTTCGGTGGTTTCCCCAGGGACGTCCCGGCATTCTGACAGACCTTCACCTATGTAGGGTCGCCCACGGGCGCACTATTGTCGTAACTTTTATTTTTGGGCTGCTGTAGGCCTTAGGCTCTGAATTCAGTGTTTTAATTGCACTAGCACATACCCTATTACTCTATTTTTGCTAGTTTTAAATTTTTCGCACTTTTATATTACTGTTTCTAGCTTCCGCACTGTGCACATGGCTTCGTCACTTCCACGTGGCGGCCAGCATGCCCTGATCTCGGTTGGGGTGTGTCAGATAATAATGTGATTAAATTAATTGTCAAATGATTGTTTTTTTTTTTAACAAACGATATTATCTACGCTACGGAGGGGGGGTGAGCTTAGCCTCACAATGGGCTAGCAATAATGTGATTCAATCAATTGTTTATTAAATATTATTTTCTTTATTCTTAATGTAAATTCTATAGGGATTGATTTTATTATGTGAATTCACCTGTTTTAATTGATTTATGACGAGTTTCTTCTAGCATGATCTAAAATTATTCATTTACTTCAAATATTTGATTTTTCTTTTGTCAATTTAAGTAGCACGCCGTGATTCAAAAAATACATTATGTACGTGCTTGAGCGCATGCATGAAGGTTAGTAAATAATCACGCACGTGCATAAAGGCTAATAAGCAATGATGACAAAGTTAGATAGTGTTGTGCGACTTAAATGAAATCAGCCTTCACGAGTATACGACTACAGTGGTCTGTAATTATGTAACGTTATTTATAAGTTTTCTTTTAAAATTCTTTGTCAAAAACCTGGGGAATTTTTCAAAGCGACAGCATTGGCACTTGCCACGTGCCAGTGCCACTCCCCGCAAGACCAGCACATAGTATGATACCATATCTGTGTGTCGCCACGTGTGCGGTCATACCCAACTGGCCAAGTAGGTAATATTTTTAGTGTCCCTACCTATATCAACAAATACAATATTCATATATAACTCATTATTTTGCACAGAGATCCTCTTCTAATCTTTCACACCAAAGCTAACTAATCAAGTAATTCAGATTCTTAAAATTTAATTCAACGGTTAAAGTTATTATAATTTTTAAAGGAAGTTCCTATTTTTAGCCTTTGAATCAAATTTCAAAGGCCCAGATCATTTGATTAGATGATTTTGGTGGCAGAGATTATGAGAGAATCTTTTTCCCATTATTTTTTATCAAACAATAAATTTGTTAAATTAAATATTAAATTAGAGACTCGATAGAATTTTAATTCACGCCGTAGTGTAAAGGACTACTTCTCTCAATCACTGTGATAGATGATCAATTGCTACCATAACTCATTATTTCAATGGAGTTGTTTTTTTTTTTTTTTTTTTTTCAAATTTGAAGGTAGTGATTTTAGTACTTTGGTTTTACATTTTTTTTATGTTAATTACTCAAAATTACAAGAATGAGAAGTGCGCAAAAAATAATAAGAAAATTAATATCATTTAAAAAATAATCTTATTAAAACACGTATATTAATAAAACAAAGTTATTTTACTTTATATTTAAAACAAACTCAAGAACGTTAATTGATAAATACTAATTATTTTTTAATATTTACATTTACAAATGATAGAATAATTATACTTTGATTTATAAAAAAAAATATGACCGAAGGTTTTAACGGGTGGTGTTCACTTCAACTTTGCTAAACCCATATTTGCTTAATCTTTTAGTTTTTAGTAACTTATTGACATAAAAAATCGCGAAGCGTACCGTACATAAAAGAGATTTTTTGATATGAGTCCAAAGTAATTAAAAATTAAACTTATTTCAAAAATAAAAAATCACTAAATATTAAACCTATTTCAAAAAATGACTTATAAAATTAGACCTATTTCAAATTTTTTCAAAAAATATTAAGTTCGTACGATAAAACGCATGCTGGGAAGCTAGTAACATTATAAATAGCGGTATAAGTAAATATAGGACCAAAATGGCCCAAGGGCGGCTACATTTCTAGGCCACACTTCATTTCCTCCCAAAAGCTAAAACCCAAATTAAAGGGCAAACCAAACCACCAAAGATCACCAGAAAATTCAAAGAAAATTTTCACTTTTCTGTGGTTTATTTGCAAACTTGATAGCGTTCGGTACTTGGATTTGATAATTTGAGCTTTCAGCTTTTAGCTTATAGCTTATGCTGTCTCTGAATCCAAACCCAGCTCAAGGTTTCTACTTATTCGATCCCATGATTACCAATATGGGCCTTCCGGGTCTCAATCCTATGCCGCCGCCGACAACTGGTGCCGCTTCAGCTACGGCGGCGACCAGTACGACTGCTGCCTGCACGTCTTCGTCCGCGCCCGCAAACGCCGCGTCGATGTCGGCGGATGATCAGAGCAAGAAAATCCGGAAGCCGTATACGATTACCAAGTCGAGAGAGAGCTGGACGGAGCAGGAGCACGACAAGTTTCTCGAAGCTCTTCAGCTGTAAGGAGTTCAATTTTGTGTTATTAGTATTGTTTCTTTGGTTTCTGTTTGGTTGCGGGGAAAATTGGGGACAGGGTGTGGAAAATAGATGAAAAGGCTGCTTCTTTTTTAATTGTTTTGAAAATAAAAATTAAATGGAAAAGCTTTTCTTTCAGTTTGCATAAACGAAGATTTGGAATTGAGATGGTGATTTTTGTTCTGTAATGGATTATTGCATTTCCTATTAACCAAGTAGAGAATTGGAGCTTATTGAAGGTCCTTCGGTTTTGGGATTTTTTCTACCAGTAATTTTAGATAATTTGATGGATTTTATTAGTGAATTTGTGCTAATTAGATTAGTTTTACTAAGTTGGAGCTAAAATTTTGTCCCAAGGATGAGCCTTTTCGGGCTTGTGTTAGTGGGCGAGATAACAGGCGTTCGAGTAAGTAAATGAGACTTTGTATTGTCAAAGAGTGTTGTTTTAGACACTAGGATGTATTCAAAATGCAAATCTCGTCCAAGTTGATCTAGTTGTTTGGATTAGTTCATCCAAATGGTGGAATATTTATGTTATGCAAGTTGATAATCTCTGAATTTGATGATTTCTAAATCCCAATTTGGGATTTACTATTAGATTTTGTTCTCGATATCAAATTTTTGTTAATAGGTTTTTTTAGGTACTCATTACATAGTTTGGTATCCAATAAAAATATGATAAAGGAGAGGTATCAGGTTGTACTAATATAGGACAGACGTTCGTAATTTTTAATTCTTTTTTTCTTTCAGATTTGTTGAGTAGAAGGCCATGCTTTAGTAGTTTTGATTGGAATGTCTTGATAAGCTGTTTTATCTATTTAGTTTCTCTTCCTTTCATGGTCAAGATGTATTAATGCTTCTTAAGACTACGTGAGGTATCTGGTATTTTTAACTCAATATATATGTTTGTGTTAGTGTATGTAGATGTAAGCTTTGCGGGTTTAATTCACATGCGTTGTTCCTCCACGTTTAAGTATTCTTATGTTTGTTCGCTTGGGTTAACTCAGGTTTGATCGTGACTGGAAGAAGATTGAAGCATTTATTGGCTCAAAAACGGTTATCCAGGTGACTACTTATTATAGTCAAATTTATAATGTATTTGCAGATAGCAAAAAACAAAAATGTAGGATGAATATAATATGCTTATTTTTTATTTTTTTGCTTTAATATTTATATAATTACTTGGAGAGTGATGTTAGATGGTTTTGGTTGTCTTTAAGTATATGGTGAAGGAATTGTAACTTGTAAGTAATTTCTTGTGGGTACTTAGAAGAATCTCTATCATTTTTGTAGGTTCTGTAAATTTCTTTTTGTTGCTTTTTGGTTGATTGAAGATAGAGAACCTGACTGTCCTTTGAATTTGTGGATAGTGACCTGATATGGAGAATTTTTATGTTCACAAATTTTCAGATTACATATAAAACAACATCCTCTAGTCATGTGTATGTATTCCGATCTCACTTTTTCAAGCATAGTTTCATGTTATCGAAAAAATAATTAAAATGAATGAAGTGAACATCTTGGACAAGGTGACAGAGAAATACATGCCCCTGCAGGGTTTATGCTTCTTTCCTTATAGAATTTAAATACCATCTGAGAAATCTTTTCTTAGTAAGCCCTGTATCTGCTTCATCTTGTCTTATTTCTTTTTGCTCCATTTCAATGCGTATGTGTCATGTTTTCATTGTACTCATGGCAAATGATATTCCTTTCAGATACGAAGTCATGCACAGAAGTACTTTTTGAAGGTTCAGAAGAAAGGGACAAGTGAACATGTACCTCCACCTCGGCCAAAGAGGAAAGCGACTCATCCATACCCACAAAAGGCTCCAAAAAGTGGTCAGCATAGTCAACCATTGTTTTCTTGTCAATGCTTCTTATGGTTATCATAGAATTCTTGTTCATAAGGTAATCTCTGGCAGCTGCAGTTGTATCTCAAGTAGCTGGGCCGTTTCAGTCCTCATCTCACTTGCTTGAACATGGATATGTTTACCAGCCAGATTCCTCATTTGTGCTTGGAACTCCAGTTAACGCTACAACTTTATCTTCTTGGAGTTATAACTCTGTGCCACCAGTCAACATGTCGCAAACAATTAAAGGTTTCATATTTTTCTGCCTGCCTTAGTGATTTAATCTTGATCAATTTGACCATAATAATAAGTTGTTTTCCCTATCTTGTTAAAATACAATTTTTGATATTTTTTATTATGCTTTTTCTTAGACGAAGGAAGGTTATCTGGGCCAACTGTTACACATAACTCTTGCTATAGTAGTAGCAATGAAAGCAACCCAACAAATTGGAAAGTGAGTGAGACAGTTGATCGAGTAGATCCTGGCCAGCCACACAGAGGTAAAATTCTCTCTCATATTTTTAATGCCTCCCTTCATGTGCTTGAGTTATGATCTTCTTATCATGTTAAAATCATAAGAGCTGCTTAAGGAGGTGATATTGAAGTCTAGCCCTTGAGTTCTACATTATCTCCTTGACCTTCTTCATATAGTTTGGCAAATTTTGGGTTTTTTTTTTTTTTTTTTTTTTTTTCCTATAACACCATAAAGGATGGAGGATAATCTATGTGCCATCACCGTAGTAGCTCTCTGTTGTCCATGGGATGCTTTTAGATGCCCGGTACTGTATACTGGTCTATGATCTCCTCCTTAGGAGTTGAAGATGTTGCTTGCATGCAACTTATAATTGCATGTAGATTCTCCTCGGTATTGCAATGTTTATATGCGTTTATGACATTTTTTTAAGTTCTGTTGGTATTAACTGTAGTTCTTGTATTTGCAGTTTTGCCAGATTTTGCTCAGGTGTATAAATTTATCGGAAGTGTATTTGACCCCAGTGCAGTTGGTCATTTGGAGAGACTGAGACAATTGGACCCCATAAATTTCGAAACAGTAAGTCAATTTTGACTGTTTGTAACCTTCTTTTTTATTTATTTATTTGGCCATTCATATCATCAAAAGGGTTCAGAATTATATCCCCGTGAATTTACCAGAAGTGTCTTGCTCTTACTGCTAAGTTTACTGAAGGGTTCTATTTGGTTCTTCCCAGGCACTTTTGCTGATGCAGAACCTCTCCATTAATTTGACAAGTCCCGAGTTTCAGGATCATGTAAGTGTTCACCTTCTCAACTTCAGCATGTCTTTCTTGACTGCAGTATGGGTGCCTTAGTCTAATTGTTTGCACAAAGAATCAATATTATAAATTTCTATCTTGACGGTTCAAAACTTTGCCAATATCTTAGGAACATAATGTTCACACCTTGTGTTTGGCAGTGATAAACTGAAATTTCATTTTTGAATTAAGACACCTAACGGTCTCTCTCATTAAGGTAATAATTGACTACTTATTAATGGAGCTCCGGAGTGTGAGGACCAGATATGTCTCTGATGAGAGACGAAGCAGTTGTTGAAGAATGTCTTGTGCACTAAAGTTCTGTAGTTATTAATTTGAAATTTATTGATTGCCGATCTAACAATATGCTGGACCTTGATGCTTTCTTTGCAATTGAGCTGTTCTGTTGTATCCCCTCTCATCATTGGCAGCGGTGACTGTTACGAGAAGTTTTAAGAATGCGTGCTCTTTCTATCTGAAAAGTTCTTTAGTTTTTAACTTCGAATAAATCTCTCTAAGCCTTGCTTGTGTCTGTGAGCCTTCTAGGACAGGTCGTGCCTTTCACTCTTCGGTATTTGTGTCGTTTCTAGCTTTGTGCTAGCTCAGCTCTGACTAAATTATATGATGATGTTATTTGCATTTCAACGGTTCTCTTTATATACACAGAGAAAGCTAATTACATCATATGCTGTCGGCTCCAACAAAACTAAATCGGACGGCAATTGCAACTTCTCTCGCATTGGTAAATCAGAGAATGCCATCCTATCTGCTTGAGAGACGAAGGTAAAATGGGACTTCTCAACTCCTAAATATTTACAGCGAATATCTAGCCGTTGCTGACTCTTAACTGTGGATTTCAGGGCGGAGCGTTGAACACGACCAAGTTCACCAACAGTTATCGTGCAGAGTGGCTTTGTACATATGTAGAATACGCGGTTTTGAATACATGTAGCTTGTGAGGACCAAACCCAGTTTTGTGTGCATACCATACCTTTGAGTTTCGTCGTGAAGGAATGTGGGATGATACAGTCAACTCCAACGTCCTTCCGAAGGCCGTCTTGTATAGAATTTCGGGGGGATTATCGTTGACTGTGGACTGTATGCCGTTGTAATAATTGTTTTTGGTTTTTACGTAACTGGAATAAAAGTAGGACCTCAAAACGGTGACAAACAAGAGAAACCTGCTACTGTATGTGGTCTCCCCGTCTCGGTCTTAAACAGTGAACATTCTGCAGAAAGTTCTTACCTCTAGTCTGTTCGACGTTGAGCCTTCTCCGGTTAAGTCTGCCTGTTTACAGCTCAATAAAGGGCCATGTATATCGAATGAGGATCCTCTCCGAATCCTCTTTATGAGGATTTTGGAAATCCTCTAATCATATACGTTTATCATACATCTTGTGGTCAGTTTTCGTCATGTACTGTTTATATTTAATTTTAAATATAAAGATTTACAATGATTTTTGATCACACAATATACGATAAACGAATGTGATTAGAGAATTTTCGAGATACTCACTTTGTGAGATCCCGGAGAGGATCCTCATTCATTTATATTTTGTGTATGTGCTATTGATGCAGTCTGAACTTAGATTATTTCGCTTTCTGACGAGATGAACGTTGTTTTGTGTAAGCAAGCAGCACTTCTGCTAGTATTATAAACGTGTTAGATAAATTTTCTTTAAGTGCTTCTTGAAGGTGCTTTTTCGTAAAGCGCTTTTACAATCTACAACAATTTAGCCTGCCCAGAAATTTATTTATTTTCTTTATTCAATTCGTGTTGAGTGGCATATGTCAACCTTTGTGCTCTTCCTTGTGGCTTTCAGAAATCAAATAAGAACATGAGAAACAAAGGGTCAAGAAAAATCCATTAATTACACCACCTACCCTCAACACATCCATTTCAAAGAAGCAATATCAAACACATCGCCCGTCCGTTGAGTTGCACATATCATCCAAGAGGACTCTGAAATCTGAATACATTGAAAATACACCGAGTTTCGAGACATCCGAGCGACCTACCTATACCCGAAACCCATGTCCAGTTTGTGTCCGTACGTCCCTTGATTGTGTCCGCTACCAGCAAACTGGTGAATCTGTTTCGGGTTTGACCTTTGTTCCATCTCAATGAGCCTTTGGAGTGCCTCTGGATGGTGGTTGCTTCCACCGGCAACGTCAGCAGCTGAATTAAAAGGAAGTCAGTATACCACATGAAATTTCCAACATTACAACATAAAGATCAGCCAAATTTTTAAGGTAGAAGATGTCAATTCGATGTTAAACTACAGAGACTCAAAAGTAAGAAAGAAAGAAAGAAAGATAGAAAGAAAGAAATCAAGCAATTTTTGGAAGTTCAAGAAAGTTGAATATCAAAGAGCGCCAAATATTGCCGGCAACAACTTTGGAGATTTAATCACTCGAGTTATTGCTAGGAAAAAAAAAAAGTAAAGGTGCGAGAAGCCACTACATGAACGCATAAAAAACAGAATATCATGCAGACACAGTGAAATCAACCAAAGTCATTAACAACAGATGCACAGAGAAGTGCCTTACCGGGCAATGGCATTCCATGACCACCAAAGTTGGGCTGCCGGGGACCAAAAGGGAAACCTTGCATTGGGTTCAATTCTTGCATAAAAGCCTGACTGTTTGGATGAGCAGGTGGAGGTGCACCACGATTGGGATGAGGAGGCTGGGGTGGAGAACTGGATAATCCTTGTAGCAGGTGAGGCGGAGGAAAGTTGCCTTGCATATGCATCTGTTGCATCATAGGGTGATGGGTGTGAGCATCAAACCCAGATTGACCAGTGTTGGGATGATAGAAAGGTGGACGAAGCATATTTGATTGAAATTGATGATTTGGTGGAGGATCGCTTCGCATAATGCCTTCTCGCCCCATAAAATTAATCTGAGAGTTGATGTTGCCAGGACGAGAGTCTAAAGGGTGGAATGGGGGACCCACATGATTCAATGAGGATGATGGAGCTGTTGAGAAGATGGTTGCACATTAAGGTTCTGATATGGAATATCAGGCTCTGTCACATCATAAGGACCACGAAGAAAAGGAGGAGGAACTTCTTGGCTTCCCATTCTTCTTTCATCTTTAAAGCCAGAATTCATAGCTGCCAACTTTTCAACAATGTCCACATGGGTGTTTGGGGAGGAGAACAATTTGCTTTTCATTTGACTTCGAGAAGACATAGAACTTTGTATGTTCAACGGTTCGCTGGCTGCAATCAAGCTATCCTCCTCAGGAAGTCGAAAATCAGGATGCCCCTCAAAAACCCCAATCTTAGAACCCAAGTCGGTTCGAACCTGTGATGAACCTACTTCAATATGAGGATTATTGAGACCTAGCCACGGCTCTTCGATCGTATCTGATTTTGTTTGCTTCCTCCTATTTGCTGTTGAGTCACTACTACTATGACTAGTTGAGTTGTGTCCAATTTGAATTGCAGGAGGAATTAGACTGCTATCTGTCACAGGAAAAGGCACCCCATGAGGCTCCATAGGATCTACTCTTGCAGACCCCATTGGGCCCCTCTTAACAGAAACTGGCGCTCCAACTGTTTGCAACTCTTTCATAAAATCAGTTCCAAACAGTGTTTCAAGGGTCAGGTTCTTCCCTGCAATAGAAACATTTTCAGCAATTTCCTTTTTTGAACTGTGAATTGCGGTGCCAATAGTTGCTCCTTCAGTGTCATGTAATTTTTCAGAATACGTTGTTTCTTGATTATAGGATGGTTCCATATCACTCACACTTGTTCCCTTATGCAACAGTGAAAGTAGGTGATGGGATGCATTATTATCAACATTAGCTTTCAGCTGCTCAGGCTTTCCACCAGCCCCAGGAGGACTCCACTTTTGAACAGGGGGCTGCAAGGTCAGAACATTTTCACTAATACCAGACAGAATCGATTGTTCAAGGTCTTCACATGTAAGGACTGTCGAAACTGCCTCTGGTTTAATACTTTTGGAAAAATCCTCAGAGTTACCAACTGTAGGAGATACTACATCTGATTTCATAACCCTGTCTGCAGGTTCAGAGGTTTGAGAAGAAAAACTAGGAAAACTGTGATCAAGTATCTTCCCATCAGAAATGTTGGATCCACCTTTTTCACCACCAACGATCAATGAAAGTAAGTCATTTTGCCTTCCAGATGAGAAATCATCACTAGGTTTCCTTTCTGCAGTAAGATAGAACCATTTAAAATTTGAATGTACATTTCCAGTTCCAAATACAAACAATTTAAGTTGGAAAGCACTTTAAACTTTTAACTCCAAGATATCAACAGCTGCAGACCTTCATGAAACCAACGAGCAAACTTGGAAGAATGGGTAGTGTCAGAGCTCTGTGTCTCATCATCTTTAAAATCTTGATGCTGTAGAAGCACAAAAGAAATAAATGAGATTCATAATTCAAGCTAATGACTTTTTTTCATAATGAGAAGAAAAACACACATTTGAAACATATAAACCATGAATTGCAGTTAAAAGTGATTTTAGGGGGAAATATGCAGATGGGTGCTTCAGATTAAAGCTGAAGCAAAGACATTTGTTTTCACACTGACATTGGACCACAAGATAGAACGCCAAAATGTAAAACTTATTTTGCTAAAGTGTAATTTTAATGGACACTATCAGCAGGTCTTAGCATATAGTAATACCAAGCCATATGCTTGCACAGATGCAAGAAGCCAAGATAGATTCTGGGACGGGAATTCGGTCACTTTATAACTGTATCATTATAAAATTTAGAATGAACCAAGACCTTGGGGAACTTGAACTGTCCTGAGTAATAACCTTTGCAAGAACTTATCGAAAACCTGTATATAGGAAAAGAAAGACATTGGACGCCACAGTTACCTCAGTGATATTAGAGGAGCCAACTACATTTAATGCTACAGCATTGGTAAAGAACTTTTCCAGTATCGACGCAGAAGGACCTTGATTGGATTCACCAACAATCGTAGTCCCCATCACCTTCTCAGTATTGAGGCCAATTACTTCACTATTTCTGGAGGCTTCTAGAGCTTGTGATGTATTAGCTATGTTATAGAGTTGACTCTCAATGCCAATTATCTTATTCAAGGCACCTTGAGGTGGTGACGGATTTCGATTCTTCTCACTCAGGCTATCAACTGAGGCATGAGTACTTGCACTTCCATGTTGTTGCTTGCTCAAGATCATTTGTTCAGTTGATTGTTTCTCCACTTGGTTATCCAAAGTCCCACTTAAAACAGGTTTACTTTTGGCATGTAAGATATTTTCCTCAAGTTCAAAATTCCCAACCTATCAAAAAGCACAAAAGATATATTCTATTAATAGCAGAAAGCAAATGATAGAGGAAGATTCAAGCTTGGGTTGGCACTACTACATGGTACTTTGGTAGCAGCGTAAACTATATGGTGCACAGATCAGAAAAACCGAATCACAAAACATTGACAAAGTTTCAATTATTAACCCAACATCACAAACAAGTGAATACAAATTTCTTCACACTAAAAACCAGCCTTCTGCAAACATAATGTCTAAGCACTTCAAGCAAGATTGTTATCATTTTAATTCAATAAATTAGGAGTTTCAATAATTATAATCCTTGAATTCAGCATCTTCATCAACGATTAGGGAAATGAAATATGGTTACCTCAACTTCATGGGAATGACTCAAGGATTTTGGTCCAAGATTTCTCTCCAAAACGGTGGTAGCAAAACCTGGGGGTACAAGAGGTCTGGGTGCAGCAGTTTGCAAGAGTAAACTAGATTTTTCAGAATCAGTACTTGAAGCTTGGGGTATGAGACGCTCCTCTACTTCACTGCTTCTATGTCTCCTCCCATCTTTGGAATCATCCACCAGTGTGGCAAAGTCAAAATCACCTTTATTCTTCTCTGGCTTCAGCTTCTGCTCTTGAAGTGCTTTTTGCTGTTCTTTCCTCATCAATTCAAATGATGCTGGGAGGAAATCCAACAAATTTCAAACTTGGATTTAACTGAGCAGAACTATACTGAACCAAACTAGATACAAATGAAAGAAAAATAAATGATAGAAAGAAAAAGTAAAAATCACTTTCTCAAGTACCTCTTCTCTTTCTTTCCTCTTCTGCTCTTTCCTCACTTGTCAACTCAGAAGAACCAAACGTTTCATCATCAAATGATTCAGTATCCCTCCGCGAGTGAGGTGCTGCCTACAAGTTATAAGATAAGAGGAAAGATATAATTAGGATGCTTTATATTCACATTATACTATTCTTTGAGATACAGAAAATATCTTATCAAAAAGAAAAAGAGAATAAAATTATGCTGCTCCATTTAAAGGTGGTGGATACTTAAACCCACTACTGCAGGCATTAAGCTTCAGAAAATTGTTTACATAAACATGTCAATGCCACAACTAAGATCAAGGTATACCTTGTAAGGACGGGGAGGGTGGTATGGCTCATTGGTTCTATTCAACTGGTATGGTTCGTTAGGTCGAACTTTTGGTGCTGATACCCCTGCAGTAAACCCAGCCGGTCTAGGAAAGGAACCACTTCCGAGTAGTCCATCATGCTCAGGAACCTGCCATGGCCGCCGAGACTGGTTCCCAAAATGCCTTCCTGAATCTGATATTGAACAGGACAGAAAGTACAATACGTCCGAGATTAGTTTATCTACAGAGACAGTACAGCAGGGTTGGAATTAAGATAATATTGTCACAGAAATGAGCCTAACATAGAATGAGGACAAAAAGTATTTCAATCAGAAATTAATTTCTTGATAGTTTCAAGACAGGAAATGAACAATGGTAGGATTTTAACAATCACCTGCACGGGCACCAGTCACCAATTCTAATTCTATATGCCAATCAATGCTTTTTAATGGTCGATCCTTCAATATCCTCAGAACAAATATCCGCTTGTCACAAAGTAAGTCTCAGATTAAACTTCAAGGGCTTTCCTAAACAGCATAATTTGGACATCCCTAAAAGCATAATCTGACATCCGCAAAAGCATAATCTGGACATCCCTCACAATCCCTAACTACTTTCATGTCACCCAATCAATATATCTTTTCCTCCTGCTAATGTTAACTGTTAAGCATAACCAATCTTAGCCCAGTCCTTTGGAAAATTGAAATGTAATTTCCATTGTTTGGTCAACGATGAGAGAGTGGCTGGAGGTCTGGGTAAAGGCTAAACAATTCATAAGTTTCTTCTGTCAAATAACTGCAAATCCAATAGATGCAAAGAAGATGAAGGGCGAAAGTCCTACTTAGTACTTACTTATGGAAGACTCTACTGGAATCCCAATAAAGATTGCTGCCAGCCTCTACAACAGGAACTAACAATCATATGAAGCTTTTTTCTAAAATATGCATATTCAACTACATGTGCCTTTGTACAGAGAAAACCATATCAATATGATTAACTAAAACCTCACCAGAATCCTTATCAGATTGCGAGTCATTATCCTTGTCACTCCGTCCAGTTGAACGACTTTCCCACCTTCCATGGATTGGCCGTGAATAACCAGCTACATCCCCTCTAGTAGGTGGAGATGGACCATACTCGTTTCGCCTGAAACTATGAGCTGACAAACCACTAGTTCTCTGTCGATCTTTGAAAGCATCCTCGAATTCACTGATTTGAAAAGGGAAACAAAAAGGAAAATATCAAACATAATGAACAAGGCCTAACATGGTAGATGAGTAAAAACAGCCATCTAAATCGAACTACCTTCTGCGACAGAAGCTATAAATACAACAATCAGACCATTCAAATAGGAATCTAACCTTAATATTGACTGGTCGAACCCACTTGGTAGTTTCTTGCAAGTATCTAATTCACTAAACGACAGTAGGAATTCTCTCGTATATGATATTTTCGACTTCCTGGGTCATTGGAGGAAGAGATTTGTTACAGTTCACCAATAGCAAAGCAATGAAATATGCATGAATATATATACACAACAGAAACTATATCTACTAGTAAAAGCAAAAATGCCAAAAACAAATCTATTACTTTTGCATTTCGTGATTCGTTTCGGTAAGATGATCTGGTGAGCGTGGTTCTTCGTTCTCTAAGCTCATTTTGAAAAAACCCGATGCAAACAGTATATCTGAACTACGACCTAATCAACGTAACCTCTCAACCATAAGAAAACAACCACTCTTCAATTCAATAGTCACTACACCAAGCTCAAATGGCAAAGCCCAGAAACCATAGCAGCATTCCAAATCAACACAAGAACTTCCTACCTCCACAGAAAGCTTTAATTCAATAATCCATTATTCGCCGAACTGGTACACCAATTCTAACCCGAAGAGTCAATTCGATACAGAAAGTTATACAATTCAGAGCAAGAAAATCAGTAACCCCAGCTCACCCATCATATATTACCATATCCAAAAATCGAATTTCGAAACTCCCCGGCAATACAAAATCAGCAAAAAAAAGTCTAACCCACTACGGTACTACCACTAGAACCCTAAAAACAAAGAAAATCCATTCTCTGGTCCATCCAGCTCAATCTACAGCAAAATACCCAATACACCAAATATTTCAAAAACCCACCCAAAACTCTCCCTAATCAAAATTTGTCCAATCCAAACACCAAAGCACACATGCATACAAGTATGATCAACTTTTTCTGAAAATCAAAACTCGAGTATCGTGTAAATTTCAAGAAAAATTCATCAAAACATCCTAAAAAGCTGGGTGAAACGGCTCCGGAATAAGCATCGAACGGGACGACAGGCCTAGGGTTCTATTTTTAAATATTTTTATCTAGATCTTCCAAAAACTAAGGTATTCTCGAACGGAGGACCTAGAGCCTACGGGGATCCAAATGAAAAGAGAGAGAGAGAGAGAGAGAGAGATTGACTGAAATTTGGGGGTTTGATCTTCTCTGCCGTGTTCTTTCAATCGGGATGTAGAGAGAGAGAGAGAGAATTAGCGAGAGGATTTGCAGAGCGCGAGCGAGTTGTTTAGAGAGAGAGGGACAAAGACAACCTTCACATCGCTGAAGGAGAAATAATTAATTTTCAAAAATAATGAGCGACGCCTCACGCGCTTCTTTGGCTCGTGGCCGCGGTCTCTCCTTTGATGCGAGTGAATAATTTGTAACCGATTGATACGTAGACAAGTTGCTTAACAAAATAACATATAGTCGAGGTAGCCGCTGGTAAGACATTTTTGGCACTAGCGGTAGCAGATGCTGTTTTATGCGGCCATAGATTAGGGATGTAAGTTTTAACTTTTGCTTATTTAATTGGATTTGATTTTTATGTATCTGTTTCTCCTAATGTATTTAGATTATTTTATCTTCTTATGTGCTGGCATGTAACCTTCTTTCAAAGTAACGAAATTTACTTTTCAAACCAAAAATAAACATAGTCGAAGCATTATAATTGTAAAAAATAAAATAGAGATATTAAAATATCTCTGTGAATCTTTTTGATCCCTAAAGACGTAAACTCGTGACAAAATTATTAGCTCAACTCATCTCTTCTTTTTTTTTAAAAAAAATAATACATTATAATTGTAAAAAAAAACTAAAGTACTTGTAGTGAAAAACAGGTGACCTATTTAAAATCTAATAACAAGTCATAACATATTTTAAATAAAAAAATACGATCATCAAGTTTACTCAAAGCTCAAGATTGGCTCGTTTAGGAAAAAAATCTAACATTTTGTTTAAGCTCACCTCCTTTCACTTATAAAAGGGTCCGAACGAGCTCAAATTAAGTCAAATTCAAACTATATCAGCCAAAAATGAGCCATTCAAATTAAAGTTGAGCAAAAAACTGGCCGAATCGTTTAAATTAACCAAACCAAAATCGATAAATGTTGGTTTGGTTTTAGATCATACTGCAATTAGTTTAATTTAGATCAGTCTACCTTCTATGGACAATTCTACCTTAGTGGTTTTCACCAATAAAATCTTTGATAAAAAAAAATATTTAAATATTTTACACATGCCTTAGCCTAAGTGACACCATTGTCCATTCAAACCAAAAATCGACTAAATTAAATAATGTATTTCACTAAATTAATAATCCTTTTAACTTTTGAAACAGACGTTAGTGTTAAGTCTAATTTGATACGTGTAAAAAGTTTAGCAACCAATTGTGAGATATAATGCTAAACTTTGTAATTTTATCTTGTGAAATAGGCTTGAGTAACCCGAAATCTTATAGAGCATGTGGATGTCTAATTAAGCTAAGTGTGAGCTCTAGTTTTCATTTCAGATGTCCTGCGTTGTTGTCGGCCCTGCGATTGGCTAGAGGCGGTTGCAGTTCTTTAGCGATTGTTTGGTACTCTACTTAAATTTAACTTTTTAAATTCAAAAACAATTTTCAAGTAATATATTTTAAAAATTTGTTTGGTATGATTATTTTCAAAAACTAAACTCACTAACACAAAAATATATTTTATTATCTAAAAACATAAAAAGTAAGTTTTTAGAATTTTTAAACTTAAACTCACATATTTCTTTTCCCTCCCTCACTCTCTCTTCTTCTTTCTCTCTCCTTTTTTTTTTTTTACCTTTTTCGTCTCTCCTCCAATCCGCTCTCTTCATTCTTTCGATTCTCTCTCATTCATCTTCCTCTCTATCTCATTTGATCCTCTCTTTTATTCTCTTTCCTTCAATCGTCTTTTCTTTATTTTCTCCTCTCTCATCTATCTCCCTCTCCTATGACCCCCTCTTTTTAGATCTATTTGTCTAGTTTAAGTCGTAAGATTTAAAAATTTTAAATCGCAAACCAATCAAGTTTTTGAGTCTTAAAGAAAATTGTTTTCAAAGATGTTTTAAAAATGTTTTGAGAAATGATAAAAATTTGAAATAGGATACCAAACAGGCCCTTATATTTCTACTATTTTTTTTTCCTTTCCCATATTGTCTTTTTCAATAAGCCCAACCCAGTTTCTCCGATCTACCCCTTTTCTTGTAGGTGATTCCACCATCTTGAGCTCCATGGGCAGATCGTCCTTTTTCTCTACCATCTTCACCATTTGGCTTCATTATTTTTCCACAGATTCTCAATCTAATTCGCCTACCCTTTCTTGCGACTTTTCGCATTTAAACAAGAGGGAGTGTAGACTATAGAGCTTTGGCTTGGGTCTTCACATTACCACCATTGTTGACCTTTGTTGGTTCTTTCTAGTGTGCGCCTTTGTTGTGATGTTGCTCATCGGATCTCTCTTCCGGCGGGCTTCCTTTGTTTCTTGGTGGCGTTCGTGTTGGTGGTCCGTGAAGGATGGTGCAGCCTATTTGTCTTTAACTTTGAGAATCTGGATGGTCTGATGACTGGCAACAATGGTGGGCGAAGGTTTTTGTGCTTCGTTATGGGGAGCATCGGTGCGTTTGGGCCTTTTGTGTGTATTGTTTTGGTGTTGGTACTAAAATTACCTTTTGACCCAAAAAAAATTAAGCTAAGGCTTTTTAGCTAAATTGATCATTTAGATTGTTATAACTCCTCAGTTTGGTTCTGAACAATTAAAATCAATATAATTGGTCTTTGAGTTTGTTCACCACACATCAATGTGGTGCTTGCGTTAAAAATCCGTTAAGTTTTCAGTTAGTGTGTTGTATGTAGAACATGAGTGCTTCTACCCACCTAGTTCTTATAGGTACTGTTTGGTATATGGGATGAGATGGAACATACTTGTCCTACGTTTGGCGCGCCAAATTGTTTGGGACGCGCTGTCCCGTGGAACAAATTTTAGTCATTTTTTCGTTCCACCTTCCTCCTGGAACAACTTGTTCCAGCCCATGGAACACAAAATTATATTTTTTGGACAACAATACCCCTAATCTTTTTCATTAATTCCACTGTCTACCCTCCCTCTCTCTCACATAGCCTCACTCTCTTATTCTCTTATTCCTCTTCCTCCACCATAAATCCAGCAACCCAACCATGGCTTCTCCACCGTCTTCCCCATAGGACGATTTCATCATCCCTCTCTAATCGGCCCCAATGCTAACCCAATCCTAACAAACCCACCTGAACCCAACCCCGCCTTCCTTCTTCCTCCCTACTGGTTCGACGATGAGATTGTCACCTTCCGCCACACCAACCTCATGGCCACTCATTGGCAGGACGTGGTCGACGATGCTCCGCTGCTTCTCATGCATCGTCATAAATCAGAGCTTCTACCCTCTCTCTTTCTCCCGTATCCTCCATCATTCTCAAATCATCCACCACCTCCCTTCCTTCTCATTAATCTCCAGATTGTTTGCCTCATTGACTTCCTCTTCGCAGCTCATGAAACTTCAACATCGTCACTGTTGTGGGCAGTGACGCTGCTCGACTTGCACCCTGAGGTCTTGGGGAAAGTTCGGTGGTGCGCCAGGTGATGAGGTACAGAGCTCCAGCAACGATAGTCCTACACGATAGTCCCAATAATGGTCCCGCACGTTGCCTAACCTTCCTTCCTACAACCATGACAACTGTAGAAAATCCAATTTCTGAAAGAAAATCTATGGAGTTGATGGAGAACCATGGGTACGTTTGTCATTTAATCATTTGTTCCATTCCGCCCTACATGTACCAAACGCGGAATAGAACAATTGTCCCATTTTGTCCTGTGCAAACCAAACGTAGCACGAAACCTCCGTTTTGTTCCGTTCCATTTTGTCCCGTTTCGTCTCGTCTTCATACCAAACGCTACCATAGAGCATGTCAGTGTCTGATTAAGCTAAATAAGTCTTTTAGAATGCCATACATACATTATACTTTTAATAACAATTATCATTTTAATAAACTATATTAAAAATCCTAACTAAACACATTTGAAATTTCAAAAATTACTTAAAATCCTAGTTGAATATCTTTAAATTTATTAAAAGAATAAAATTTCTTCAAAATTCCAATTAAATATACCCCCTAAATTCGGAGAACACAATGTTATTTTACCCTTCGCTAGAAAGATAATCCCTATATCGTTTTCTTCCTAAAGAACCTTACCTTATCCTTTTTCATTCACAGAATGCCATGTCCAACAACCGCCCCTATATTACTCAAATTTACAAAAAAACCACCACATATGACCTCCTCCTACAGCCATTTTCGTAAATAAGTTCAAATGCGAGCCCCTTTCACGACCACGCATCCTAACCCCTTCGCTCCCAGCTCCAAAAACAATCGGACACTGGAAAAAAAACTTACAGAGACAACAATGGCCTGCCCTTCGCTCTTACGCTCCGCCACGTCGTCGTTTCACGGCCAATTCCCGGTTGCCGTTTCACCTCCGCCTTTACGACTTTCGTACGGAAACCCTAGGAATGTGGTGGTGCCGGTGAAGGCCGCGGAGGTGGTGCTGGTGGAGAAGTCGGAGGCAGAAAAGGTCAGCCGGCTCAAAACCACTTACCTCGAAAGAATCATCCCTAAGCTCAAAGAAGAGTTCTCTTACACCAACATCCACGAGGTGAATAAAACCGACAATTTTAATTTTTTTTACATTAATTGTGTTAATTTTTATTGTTCTGGATATTGTTATTTTGATAATTAAATGGGGTTTTTTTTTTTTTTTTTTTGTGGGAAAATGGTTCAATGTGTTGCTTTGTTACCTCTAATTTTAGCAGAAGTTGATTTGTTCTGGTTAAGCAATCGATTTTTTGATTTAGCTTCATTAAATTTCCATTTACTGAAAGTAAATTTAAGAACGAGTAGTGACAATGTGGTTCAGTTTTGATGTTATGATACAATTTTCTCAATCATAACGACTCAGTTTTTCGTGTTAATGCCTTCCGGGAGTGAGAATTTCCGTGTTATTGTGGTGATGAATTATCTATATTGATGAATTGGGTTGAGTGTAAAATAAAATCTTCTTTACCTTGAACTAAGGTTTCCGGAATGTATTATCCTTGTAAGCAATGGAAAGGCTGTTTCCTTGATATTCATATTGCTTTTGGTAGTTTTGTTATTCCGCCATGGGGTTCAGCGACTTAATAGTGTTATGCTATGTGGAACTTGGGTAGGTTCCGAAGATTGAGAAG